GCTATACTATGACGTTTTTTCGACACGCTATACTATGACGTTTTTTCGACACGCTATACTGTGACGTTTTTCAACACACTATACTATGACGTTTTTAGACACGGCATACTATGACGATTTTCGACACGCTATACTATGACATTTTTCGACACGGCATACTATGGCGTTTACTCGACACGCTATACTATGATGGTTTTTCCACACGCTTTACTATGACGTTTTTAGACACGCGATACTATGACAATTTTTGACACGCTATACTATGATATTTTTCAACATGGCATACGATGGCGTTTTTTTGACACGCTATACCATGACGTTTACTCGACACGCTATACTATGATGGTTTTTCCACACGCTATACCATGACGTTTACTCGACATGCTATACTATGACGTTTTTTCGACACACTATATGATGTTTTTTCGACATGCTATGCTGTGACGTTTTTCGACACGCTATACTATGACATTTTTTGAATGTATTTGTATATTATCAGTAAAACACTGCAAAGAGAACAAACTAAACGTCCTCGCTTCACGTTGTAGATCGACATCATGAGGATGAATTCTGCCACATCAGACGTTGAGTCAGAGCCATCCTGTTGTTTATGACAGCTCCATCCCGTTATCTGATTTCCAGTTAATCGACCGACTTCATGAGCATCACCAACGCTATCTGGACAGCACACATCAGATTCTGTTTGGTTCACAGCCAACATGGCAAACTGTTTAACCATGACAGACTCGTATAAATCTGCTCTTTCTATCATTTATTCAACAAAAACATCAACAGATGTGATATTCTAACGTGGCTTGTCCCAGTTTAGCAGAAACTACTTCGTCAGGGTGTTTTTCACTCATATTTCCCTTTTTCCTTTTTTAATTTTTAAATTTTTTTCCACTTTATTTTATTGTTCTTTTATTTACTGATTTTTGTAATTTGGTGCTCTCACTGCTCCATAAGATGTATCACCATCGTTCACATCATGAACATGTGGGCTTCCTGCATCCTGTCCTTCAGTTCATGATCAACAGCATCACACGTCGACCAGCATCCGTTTGGTGTTTGTGGTTTTTCACTGGCAGCAGCCGCTGGGTTTTTCCTCCTGTCACCAGCAACCAACCGGTGACCTCGCTCAGATAAACATCTCAGGAGTGGTTTTAAAGCGACGGCAGCTCGGAGGCAGCGTTTCTCCTCCACGAGCCTCCGAACGACCACAAAGCTGCTGCAGCCGACAAAACCGACGAAACCACAACCAGGTGAGGCTTTTAATTTAATTATCAGGCTTTATTCTAATAATCAGGCTTTATTCTAACAATCAGGTTTCATTTTAATCATCAGGCTTTATTTTATTTCCAAATCGTCCATGTGAGAGTGCTGGTCTGAGCTGGGGAACAGAAATCAATTCATATGAACGATTGATGGAATAAAAACTAACAAGAAAACAAAACAATCAGAGACAACAGCAGCTCCAGTCAGACACACCTTTACATATTCAATAACGTTCATCAGAACCACATAACAAGGTTAACGAGGCAGCAGCAGGTCTGACTTCCTGTCATCACCTGCAGCCAGGTGAAGGGCTGACTTTGTTCCAGGAGTTGAACAAGCTTCTGGAAAGTTTATATAGAAACAGAAACCTGGGAATCAAGACGAGTTTCAGCTTTTCTCTCACTTTGTGCCTCGTTTAAGTCTTTTTTTAAAATCTGGTTTTAGTTGTTTTGTGTCTCGGTTTTGTTGTTTTATGTTGTTTTCTATCTCATTTGGGTAGTTTTGTTTGTTGTTTTTGTTGTTTTGTGTACTTTTGTGCGTCATTTTTATTGTTTTGTGTCTCGATAGACAGAAAAATGTGTTTAAAAGCTGCTTCTGACTCATGATAATGTTCGGAGGAAAATGACGTCGGGTTGAGTGAAGGTTTTCATCTAAAGAAGGAGAGCGAACGTAAAAACAGAAGGAAGGTTTCATCTGGTTTCCTGTTAGACGCACAACGAGCTGCAGCCTTAACGAGAGACTCAGAGAGATTAATACATTTAGATTTTAACAGTTTTTCGCAGGATTTTTTGTGTAATTTACTGTTATTTTACACATTTTCCCTTTTTTGTTAATATCTTGTAAAATCACCAAAAAAAACTGAAAGAATTTTCTCGTTAACCTTAAAAATAAAAAAAATAAAAATCAT